ACTGGAGTTAAAGTTGAAAATGCTTATTAGTTAGTTCAGAACAGTACTAGTAGAATATTGCAGCCTAAAAGTTAGTGAACTGATCAGGATTAAACTCTGCATTTGTAAGGATTTTATGATCATCCTGCTAAACACTGTACGCTGTGCTGGTTTGCTTAGACAAAGGGACCGAGCTGTACATGATGTTTTATGCTGCTGTACTTGTTGCTTTCCTTCTCTTCCCCCCACCTCTCCAAATTACGGTTCCATACAAGATCGATTAGTCTAAACTGCTGCTCCTTGGGTTTAAGAGGAACAATTTTCTGCAGCTCCTTCACACTGGTTTGAAAGGAAAAAAAAAACCCCAAACATTCTGTTTAATTAAGTCCTAAAGAGGCGGTGCAAACTTTTGATGATTAATTGAAGCATGCTTTAGACTGATGCATATTTAGTTATTATAATGTGATAATTTTATCTTGTTATACAAACTGCTCCCTTTGGGAACATGATTTAACACTGCAAACACTCTGTGTTTATTGCATTGTTCGTTATGAAAAATACGCAGGCTAAAAAACATGGGGAGATGTATCTGAGCAGTATCTGTGCGGTGGGTGCAGGGAGTGCTTCTTCCACCTGTAATGACACAACCCAGGGGCAGAAAAACGCAGTATTGGAACTCCCACAATAGCTCTCCCTATGAAGAATTGAGAACTCGGAGAACCAGAGGCTGGAAAGTCGGATCTTGTGCTGTATGTGGAAGGAATATGTCTTTCTGTTACCTGGTGTAATTATGGAGGACAGTGGTACCGACGTTCAGCTGAAAACCCTCCTGTTACTATTCAGTTGTATGTGTGCCAGCTCCTCTTTGTCTCACCTGTACGAGCACCCACGCTACCTGTCGTAAGCATGACAGATCTGAGAACATGCCGGGCACATTGCTAGAACAGGTCAGAAAGTCGCAAGCCCAGATGGAGAAAAAAATACAGTTGTTAAAATATATTTTCTTTCACTTCAAAATGATCTGTACCACGACTTGCAAATGTTATTTTTTTACTTCACTCCAGCGAGAGCTCACCTGATGGACACGGGCATGCTGTCAGGATGAGCTCTTGTTACCCCAGCGGATATGCTAAGCTAGCCTATCAGCAAAAGTTTGTCTGTGAGCAAAGGAGAACATTGCCATGGAAGAATACTGATGTAATTATTGTGGAGAAGCTTTCTTAGTGCGGACCTAATCTAGAAAACATTTGGATAAGTATTCAAGGCAGATAAGCAGTCTCAAACTACTGGATTTGAAATTCTCCCCTTCCTTGCTTTCTTGTTGCTGTAGGTTCTTCTTGCTGAGTGCTTTAGGGATGGGAATTTGATACATTTTCCTGAAAGAAGGGCAAGAGTCTGGTAAAGTGATTTTTAAAGAATTTGGCCTTACAGAACAGAGGTCTGTGAAAAAGTGAGGGGAAATCTTATCTTGCATGGAAAATTTGAATTACTGGTTTTGGATTATTCCAATTTGTGTTTAGCAAAAGACAATGATTAAATCACCAGCCTTTGGCTTTCCTTATTTCACACACTCTTGCTTTTTTTTTTTTTAAATTATTTCTTCCCACTGTTGTGGATTGTAATGATTGAAATACATGGACTGTTGCTTTTCTGTTAATGTGGCAGTCCTCTTTTTTGGTCACTAAGCTTGAAACACTGTAATGAAACATCCCTGTTAGTTCTTTTCACAACTTCTGCTCAGATCTCTACTGCAACCAGTGTCAAGAAGGAAAGCACAAGATCAGATTTGAACATTTATCATTGTCCCCAGCTGTCCTCCACACCCATAAGCCGTAGGGCCTGGCTCTGTACCCATGCCAAGTACCAAGAACGGGTCCTTTTCTCTACTGTTCTTAGCTTTACTTGAAGCTGAAGGAAAGGGTTTGGTTTTAGAGCAAGTCTTCCTCCCTGTGGGCTGCACATGTTGGTGGTCCACAGGGAATTTAGTCATGTGATATCGGATGTTTTCTTCTTTCACCTGATGAATTGCATTACAAGAAGTTAGAGTTGCATTGAAAGTTTACTTGGGCAAGCATACACCTGAGGGAGCAAAGCTGACTTAAAAGTGCCATATCAGTGTACTGTTCCAGGAATCGCCTGCTCTAAAGTGCTGCTGTTTCCTGGCTGCTTTATGTGGCCGTGCTCAGCTAATCCTTTTGTAGCATGTTCCTGAGTCCACTAGATGAAAGAGGCATCTAGTTTTATTATTACTGTTACTATTAAAAGGGTTGTATTGTATGTCACCATTCTTTGATGACTGGGGGGAGAAGGGAGTAGAAGAGAGAAATAATAGAAGTTCTTTGTATTTAGGCAGACTCTTTCCCTCCCTTTCTCCCTTTCTTCTGCCAAAATGATGAACATTTTGATTAATATTGATGATGCCTTCTGGATATCAGCTGTCTCTTCCTGGAAGTGCAGACAGTGGCTCAAAGTAGTAGTTTGCAGACCATTTTCTGGTTTTTTATTGACTGTCAGATCCATGGACCATAAGTGAAGCAATGCTGCTTCAAAGGATTCCCTGTGAGGTGGTGGTGAAGTTCTGCTGGTCAGGGCATGGGATGACAACAACTTTACAGAGTAGGTACCTCTCCCTTTCCTCTCCTCTTTCCAGGATCTATCTTGGAGGAAGTCTTTGGCAGAAGGAGGTGGGAGGAGCCTTACTGTTCTGCATAACCTCCCGCAGAGAAGTGTGTAATGCGGCTTTTGCATGTAAACTGTTGTTGCTGCTGCTGCTGCTGCTGCGATGCTGTGTAATTGAAAAAGGACAATGGGGTGGTCTTTCTGATCACCTGTGGGAGACGGTTCATGTGTGTCAGTGAACAGGAGTTGAATGGTAGCTGGGGTGCTTCCCCTATGAAATCACGCATGAAAGCCCCTGAGAATCCTGTGGCAGAGCTCTGTTGTTCTTCAAAACTGCCCTCCAGATGAGCCAGCCTGCTTCAAAAAGAGCTACTCCAGCACCTACTTTGCCAGTGAACTCTCTTTCAGCTCTGTAATTTTCTTTTTTCATTTATGACAGTTAGTCTCACCAGAAACGAAGGCTATTAGAAAGGTATCACTGGTAGATCTTCAATTTTCAGAGATAAAATACTTGTTATCAGTAGGAGAATATATGTTGCTGTTATCTGAAGCAAGACGTTGCAGTCTCTTTTCTTTGGTTCACAGGATCTTCTGTTGTCCTGATAGATTCAAAGGGGCAAGTTCAGTCTATGAGGAATTGGTTTATTATGGTGCAAAAGTAGCTGAATCAGGGCACCTTTGTAAAAACTTAGTACTTCAAATGGCTCAGGATAAAAATGTTGGGAAGAGCTATTGAGCTGTGCTGGAGTAGTTAGCATCCTCACCAAGACTGGTCCGGAGAGAAAGCTGCGACAGCACCGCCCAACACCACCCTAACAGCACCCTGCGCTCCTGCGCGTCTGGCTGAGGTTGCAACTGGCTCAAGGGCAGGCTTCATGGCCCTATAGATGGCTAGTGATAATTCTGGCCAAATTGTTTTGATTTCCCTTCATGCTGAGTATATGAAAGCATTTATAGTATTGGCAAATCTCACTCTAAAGGATAAGTGGTAAAATACATTAAACACAAATTGTGTTATCACATAGCCTTGAATATAGGTTTAAAGGTAGACAGTCTGATTAAAACTAAAAGGTCATTATTTTACATTGTACAATTTTATTTGTAGCTATAAATCATAACACAATTTGTGGAAGGAAAAAAGTTATTAAACTGGCAGTATTTATTCCGTTAAGGTGAATAAAATGCGGCACGTAGTTCTGAGTTATGATGGCCGGGGAAAGGAGCCAAATCACTCCGCTAAAAATTAGTTTGCCAATAATTTTACAGAATGATGACAGTGTAGCTTCAAAAACAAATCCTTTATAGGGAAATGGGATGGCTGCATGACAGACTCTCTGAGCTATGAATTCTCCACAGCTCATGGACCAGGAACTGCTTTAACAGTTAGTCTTCGGGGATTATTTTTTTTTTCCAGAAGTTAGACAATGGCTGCTGTCTGTAACTGAAAGATCACGCTGTATCATAGACGGGACGTAAGAGCTGAATAATTCTGAGTTTCAAGTCAGAAAGATTCCTGCTAACTTACTGTCTTGATCTGTTCAGGAGGCGTAACTATTCACTACCACTGCCTGCAAAGCTGGGGTGGGAATGATGACCACATAAGGATATCGCTAGCACTTTAGTAATAAGCCCTGGGGTTTTTTTTTCACATGGCAGAAGGCATACATGCCACATTCATACCACACGTTAGAAAAGAGCTCGAAAGAGACTCGGGAGCTCTGTCTGAATTAAAATTTGACTGATGAGCATAAAGCCTGGAAAGTAACGCGGCAGACTGTACCACAGTGCTGCATCTTCCTTCCTGCTCAGGTCGGTGTGTCTGTGACTGCTGTGTTCACATGAAAGCTCCCAGTTTTGTACTCTAGTCATTCTTTTGAAACAACACTGAGAAGGGGTATTTCATGTTCCTACTTGTTTGGAAGAGGGCTCTTGTCAGAGACCTGCCTTGGTGCAGTACCTTCTGGGTGTGCTTTATCACCAGCTTGCTGAGCAGAACATCTCAGGGGCTCACTACAACAGACTGTAAGTAAGAAGAACAAAGCAGCAATACTCATTAAGCCTCTAGTCTTGGCTACTCGTTTAATGAAGAGTTGTGCACTGTTAGACGTGCTAAAAAGCTCTCGAGAATTCCAGGGCTGTTCAGCAGTGCACCATTTTTTAAGCTAATAATCTTTTTCCAGCCATCTTAGAAGCTTTGCCAATCTGCGGAGCCTGGCTGGCACAGGTCACCAGCTGCCCAAGGACAAAGCTGGTGATCACAGGCATGCACAGTTCTGCTCTCAGACAGCGAGGATTTAGAAATAAGATGAGCCGGTGCTGGTTGTATCTAAGAATAAGCGTGCAGATGTCTGAGGAAGGTGTTTTCATCTCGTGTAAACATTGTTCTTATATTTTTGTTGTAGAAGATGATGTGTCAAATGTACAAATAATGTGTGCCTGGTGCCAGAAAGTTGGAATCAAGCGCTATTCCCTGAGTATGGGAAGTGAAGTGAAATGCTTCTGCAGCGAGAAGTGCTTTGCAGCTTGCCGAAGAGCATATTTCAAGAGAAACAAGGTAAGAGAAATAAGGAAAGATGTAACCTACATAGACATAGCTTTAATCAGGCCCAGCCTGAGTCTCATTTAGCATCTAATAGAAACTCTTTTCTTTTGTTTTCTCTCTTTCACCTAGTCCCTCCTCTTTCCATCTGTATTGTCTGTTGGACTGTCAGCCCTTTACTAACCCTGTTTCTTTCAGTTTCCTTCAGCTCAATGATTGGGTTTTGTCAGAGTCAGGGAATTTAAATACTAATAAGCAGTAACATAAGAGTCACAATTTGGCCTAAGAGTCTCAGGATACTTGCTGCATATACTCAGCCAAGAGGAGGAATCATGAAAATAAGGGTAGAGAAGGGTTGCCTAGGACAGCGTCACTAAGTCCCATAGCGTTGGGATCATGGCTAGTGGGTAAATGGTTTTAGAGCCTAAGTCTGGGTCCCATCACAACAGCGGACATCTTCCAACTGCTGCTAGTGAGCTCTAGTTTCATTCTTTTAAAGTATATCATTACTAATAAACTATCATTGCTGCAAAATTCAGAGACTATGCAGGTTTTGGGTTGGGGTAAGCAATGTTAGAACATCTAGAGCAGCGTGAAAACCCCTCCCACTCAATTAATATTTAACTCTGTCTAAAATTAGAATGCAATCCTAATATTGAATGTCTACAAAAATTGCTGTAATCACTGAAGTACAGTGCCTGAAAATGCCCCCTAGGTTACTTCAGCAGCTGTTTCTGCAGCGGAATGTGAGAAATGTCATTTAAAGAAAAATAATGAAAGAACGCTCCAGTATTTTTAGTTGTTGAAAAAGCAACTGTGTCCTTTTGGTGCTTAATAGTGTAGTCTTTGAGTGGCCTTTATTGTTTTAGAAATATTCGTTATTCATAAACCCCTTTACATTTTGTTTTTCTAAATAATGGCATTTTCCCTCATACTACAAAACATTCAAAGCCTTTCAAGTTCAAACTGAATTCGAGTCTCTAAATTTGGTCTTTTACATCTGTTGTAATACCAAATAAGTACATATGGATCCTAGATTCAGGATGCCATGTTATAGCAAATTACCCTCCCTTATAAATTTGGGTCACATCATCCTGCCCCCCACCAAAAAAAAGGGAAGAAAAATGCCTGAAGAATTAAATTACAAAAATCAGTAGAGTGGAATTTTAGTGGCAGTCTTGGAGAATCAAGCTGATAATGTCTACTGGAGCAGACAGGCAAGATAAAGTCACAGAAGTCTTCTGCGAAGAGTGGTGTTTACGTGCTTCTTATCTAGAAGAAGTGTAGAGGAGGGAAATACATGGTCCTTAGATGTTCCTCATTTAAAAACAAGTTTTCATGGATGTATGTGTATGTGCACACACGCATGTTTATGCACATGCAGTTCAATGTGCCTTACAATGTGTAGGATGCTCTGGGGTGACAGGATGCAGATCACTGTCAGCTGATACTCCTGTGACTTTCAGCTGTAAATGTACATTGGTAAAAGAGTTCATAGTAATGGAGGCATTGTCAGTGATACTAGTGAGGTGGTCCTGTGTGTCCAGCAGTGATGAGTACCAGATAATTCGGGAAACCTTGGGTAGGGAGATGAAGGAGCAGCCAGTTCATGGGGTATTCGCCTTCATCTACAGCTTAGATCCTGAAATAGGAGTTTTGATCCCTTACTAAGTGAAAATAAATACACATTAACATAATGCATAGGTGTACTTCAACCTTCTACTAACCAATGAGTAGTAGGATTCAGTAACAGTTTGTGGCCATGAATTCAATCAGTCAGGCAGTAAAAGTTCCCTGTTACCTGACTTGCAATTTATTACCTGTGGGTTTTATTGGAGGCCCTTGTCCTTGTATTATGAGAAAGGATGAATTAGAGCATCTCATTTTCTCTGATTCCCTTTCCTACACCTCTGTTAACTTCTTCTGGAAGCTAAAAGATGCTGAATATTTCCATTCAGAAAGCTCTCTGTATTCATTATTTTGTATATATCTAAATAACAGTAGATGCTCCTAATCTTTTCGTATGCCATCGTATCCCAGTGAAGTGTCCTATTCTTCACTAAAGAGGTTGCAAATTGACAAAATATCATATGGGAGGACTTGGCAAAACATGACAAGATGACATATAATTGGTAACGTGATGGTTGCTACATTGGCTCCGCTTCAGAGTTAAGCCAGTGAGTCAAATTTTCTTGCTCTTTACACCTGTGGAATCTGGAATTGCGCAGGATCTGACCCAGCAGGGGAAATCTGGAGCTTCCCCTTGCAGGTGTGTTTATGGCATTAGATGATCTGAGGATAGAATAGTTAGGAAATGCTGAAGTTAAATTAAGACAGGTACAGTAGAATTCAGCAGACCCTCATGCTTCTTATTTTGCACTTCACCTGTTAGTAATAGAGTGGAGTCTTGAGGAACAAGATCAAAGGAAAAGGCTACAATAGTTTCAGATTCAACTGCTGACCTTTAATCTGTTATTACTAGTCCAACAGCGTACCTGTCTTCTCCATGAATCTAATGGTTATTTATGTATTTGAGACATTATGCCACCCTACACTTTCTTATTTTTCAAACAGAGAAGTTAAATAGTCACGTTTCACCTGCCGTATGTATGTTTTAAACAGCAGATCTCCCAACAATATAGTGTTGTATTGCATTAAATATGTACAGTTGCTGCATTTCTGGGAGCTGATAGGACTTTGTGGTCACTTCATTTAAGGCTTGAATTTCCTAATGGATCGTGTTAAGCAGTCTTCCCTCCCTCCCCTAGATAAGAAGTGCTGTAATAAGCACTTGCTTAAAATGATAGGACTGTTCAAACAGTAAAGAATAAGTCATTGCTAATGTCTCAAAGCCTCACTAAGTAATGCTGCAAATTATCCATCCCTGAATGCCAGTTGCTGTGTTCAGAATTAGGATTTTTGTCATCATCCTAATAACAAAATCCTCTCCCATGCACAGGGCGAATGCATGCTGAAGCAATGCATGCCCACAGGTTCCCAGCTGGGAGGAGGCTTGGCGTGAGACCACCCTGAAGTGCCCTTGGAGAGCAACAAGAGTGCACAACAAAGCCCCGGGTTAGCTGGGCACTGACTGCTCCCGACCTCTAACTCCATCCCAGCCCTCTCCCCCAGTAGGCTTATCAAGACCTCGCTGGCCTCGGGAGTGTTTGAACCCAAGCAGTTCAGTCAGAGGTGCACATCGCTCCCTCCTGCCTTTTGTTCCAGCGGGGCTGTGTCCGTTTGTGCTCCAGAAGCTGTGCCCCTGCACCGCTGGCGTCCGTACGCAGCCAGGGTTGTCAGGGACCTTCACGGCTGGGATGGGAAAGTCTTAAGGAGAAAGACTTGTACAACTGTAAGTTGCTTTTCTCATAAGAAATGCAAAATTTGCCCCAGGTATACTGCAGTCATGATCATTTAAAATTATCTATATTAGCAACATGCCTTGCAAGAATAGAAATATATATATATATTGAAGTTATAATGGGTCTCCCCACAGTGTGTAATTTTATCTAAATTACTAGAAATAAATGAAGGAAAAATTGGGGGGTTTACCCATTTAGGCAGAGTGAAGTGTTTAGACTATAGCCAATTTAGAAAAAAACGAAAAATACCACCCCCCCTACTCCCCAAACAAAAATAACCCAGATCTGCATTCCTGATCCTGTTTGGTCTAGTGTGCACAGTCAAATACACATAATGAACTAGTGTATAATGATAATCTGTTGTGCATAATAATACCAATTAAAAGGAAGTGTTGCAGGAAAAGGGAGCATTTCGTACTAATGTTTGTAACTGGAGATTTAAGATTTGGAGCTGTTCTGATGCTCCCTTCCTTAGAGATTTAATTTTATAGGCCAACTGATACAAAGTTAAGCACCAAAGAGGCACGTAAGGGCAAAAAGCAGTAGACCACTAAGTTTCAGAATATTAAATTTAAAGGGAACGATTGGATTCATAATTGGATCCGGTGAGTTTGAAGCCTGAAAAGATTGATTTTGAAATGAAGGTTATTGACTCAATGGGTCAGAAAACAAATTTGTTATGACCAAGTAACCAAACCTAGAATGAGGACTGAATTCATAGAGGTTATAGGCTCAGTTCACAGATATATTAAAGGATAATTTACTTGATTTGACTAAGACATCGGAGGTGAAGTGACTGCAGGGTTGTCAGACAGTGTTTTATACTTGACCTTGTTCCTGTTTCACACCACCTCCCAATCAGGAAAAAAGATGATAGATGTTTTTGTTTACAGTGCAGTCAAAATTATTTTATGCTAATAAACAAATAGGCATCAATCAAAAAGTTAAAGTAAACTGCTGTTTAGCAATGCAAAGAGGTAAACGACGATGGCTTTCCCCCTGTATGGGACAGTGATGGGCAACACCTTGGTAGCGCAGACAGGCAGTGCGTTTTATGCTCTTTTATCTCATCTGTGTAGCAAGAATGAATGTGAACAATCAAATGGGGCTGTAAGAAGTCATGCGCATTTATTTAGTCCTGAGTTCTGTTGCATTAGAGAATTCTCTATGTTTTCAAATTATATTTAAAGACAATAAAGTGCACACAACATCAGTACTCCTTAATATGCCTTAGTATTCCTGCCTGAATAGTTTTTTGGTTAATTACTGTATATCACTATGTGATTAATGTATCATATATATACATGTATGCACAAACATATAATATATGTATATGCAAACACATACTGAAGACTGGGAGCAAACAGAAGCTATCATTCCACCAAATTATTACCAAGGCTTGTCAGAAAAGTTCTCTTGATTTCAAGCTTAATTGTGCAGCCTAACAGCGCATGAGATACACTTAATGATCTCCCTGTTAAGTCAATGAGTAACGGCAAAAAAGATGTTACTTTCTACTTTTTCTTATGCACCTGCAAATTTTAATTTGTAAAATGGTCATCATTCATGGAAATATGGAAAATTGCTTAAAGCAACTTGATGCAAATAATGCCCCTGACAAAAAAAAAAAAAAAAAAAAAAATAAAAGTTTAG